ACCCCGACCACCTCACCGATGGATCGGCGGCACAAGGCCGTCCAGTAAAAAACCGATGTTACAGCATTGAGGGAGCATCGGATTATGTTGGCTTCTGCGCCGCTCAACGCGGATCACATCCACCGACCGCGAGGCGCAAGTTCCAGTTTCGGGGCCTGAGGAATTGGGAATTAGGACCATTTTAAAATGCGAAAGTCCAAAATTGTCGAATCACTTGGATTCTTCGCGCTTATCACGTGATCGGGTGGGGGTAGGAGAAATTGAGAGGTTCCTCGGGGTGATGTACGGCCCCGACGAACACTCTTCGCTGGGATTTATTACAATAAGGTCGCTCTGCGCCATTTAAGTTTCTTTCGCTCTCCGAGCTATTTGATCGAACAAGGGTAAAGTACATGTTGGTGTTGTGCCCGTTTGTTCCGGCTCTATTTTCCTGACGTCGCCGTACTGAGGGTCCAGACGAGTCTGCCTGGTGTTCTCGTAAAATCACGGTGAGCGTCTTATTTTGTTGTGAGTGCACGCGTCCTTACAGTAGGGAATCCACTCCGGCGCCCATTTTGGGGCCGTTTGAGAATGTACTAGAGTCTGCTTGTGGCGCGGTACTCTGTAGCCTCCAGCTACCTCTTAATTTGATTTTTTTATTAGTTTCTCTACTTTAGTTTATTATCAATTTTTTTTGTGGGGAAAACTAGTCCTAACTCATCTGTTACGTCGACCTTTCCCAATAACTTTTGTGTCGTGGCTTTCGCGTCGTGGTCGCTTGCGGGTGATCCTCGCGTCTTAGTGTCTCCCACGCACCTTTAAAGTTATTATTATTTATTTTTGTTAACTAGTATCACTAGGTTAATTACATTTTTTTTTTGGTTTGTATAGCGTCTTTGCTTGCGGGAGTCCTCTCCCGCACATGTAAGAGATTAGACTGAACTCATTGGATTAAAATTATATATTTTTTTTGTTTTGTAGAAGTTTCCATATTGTTGAGTTCCGCTCATTGTAGCCTATTCCCACACGTCTCCGCGGTTGTCTGAGCTAGTCGTGGAACGCGGCTCAACGGTGTGACCTTGTCCTTTGGCGGTTAAAAGGACTGGCGCCCTTTTTGGCATTTTGTCTCCTCTCGTTATTCCCGTCGTTCTAATTCCGGGTTGAGAGAGNCAACGGTGTGACCTTGTCCTTTGGCGGTTAAAAGGACTGGCGCCCTTTTTGGCATTTTGTCTCCTCTCGTTATTCCCGTCGTTCTAATTCCGGGTCGAGAGAGTCCAAAAGGGTCGCTGAAAGTTCGTGGAGAACCACGCGTCTGAATCTCGCAGACGCGCATGGAAAAATACCTCACAATATATATATATGTTTAAGGGTTATTACGATGACACTGCAATGTTTTGAAGTATAATTCAAATGTATGAATTATAACCTCAAAACCGAACAGCTCTTGGCATGACCCGGGAGCACCACGTGGAGGTGGCTGTTCAAGGGTCCCAAAAAATTGTTAATTGCGGGTGTAACTCCGCAATTTCCAACTGGCGCAAAGACGGTGTATGCTGCCTAGTCGGGTTACGCAAGGTCGCAATGTTCTGATGGAAAATGACGCTCATACCTGGCTCTACCTCCTGATGCACTTAAATCCGCCGCGGTCCCTTCTGACCGCATGTTTTTTTGTAAAACATAAGAACTCCACTTTCGGGAATATTCGCGTCAGATATTCGGACTGAGGTTATCGGCATACTGGAGGGTTCGCGAGGTCGAGGTCAAAGTTGCAGGACGAACACTACCACACGACGAACGCCCACTAGTGGTCATTTCGATGACTGTCATCAAAGTGACCATAGCTGCATTTACCGTATGGTTAAGAAATTCGTTACTGTCATCAAACTAGCCTTTAAACATATATATACTACTATATATCGCCACCGTCCTTCTAACGGCAAAAATGATTAAAAACTATCATTACATTTTACTGAAAATACTTACCCCCCTTTTGGAGGCGTGATGTGGGCTCCGACTCGTTCCGCAACCCTCCCCCCTTTTTCGTTCAAATCCCCCCCCCC